ATGTCTCCTAATTATCATATCAGGGACATTTCTTTTATCTTAGAGGTAGTGTTTATGGTGATGCAAGTCAAAGTATTCACACCCTGTGCTAGAGCAGAGGAAGAAGTCAATGGGAGTAGAAACTGCAGCTGCAGACCCAGCTCTGGGACAGCCTGTATAGTTCATAATGACTCTAAGATTCAAAATAAGTGTTGACAGCTAGTTCTACAATGCAAAAGATACCACAAGACTTCATAGTAAAGCACTGTGGTTTCATATGGGGCAATAAGACTTCCCAGTTCAGTTGAGTTGAGTACTAGGTGAGAATCCTAGGGATTGCAGCAACAGGCACTGACTCTTCATGTGGAGACTGACTGTCTTGCAGAAGATAGAGAACATTTTTTTACTGATTTTACTAGTAACTTTCAGACTTTATATTGTAATGATGTTAGAAATACACGTAGGTTCAAGAACTCTTGATAGAAATGAATAAAAACGCTCGAATTATAGGGATTTTATTCATTTCTATCAAGACTTTATACTGTTTTATTGATTCCACATCTTTTGATTTTCCTTGCTACATCATACAGTACCTTGTTTTTGAGCAGTCTCATTCCCTCTGAATATCAATGAAGAGCCACAGTTGCAGCTGCTTTCAGGGGAGGTCAATATCCTGTCAGTAGAGCTGTGCTGGATTTAACAAAGGGACTTATCCTATGAACTGGTCAACTTCCTTGTTTTTCTTTAAATCTACATTCCCTAGCACATGCATCCAGGTAAGGGTCTTACCATGCAGTTGCTTTGTTTTCTGTAAAATGTATATGCACCTAAAGAGATACTATGAAAAACCATAATGGAATAAACGTTTGAGCCTGGTGAATGGCTATGGTATATGCTGTCATTGGCATTCAAACTTTGCCTGTAGGTTACATCCTGTTTGAAGCCATAAAAGAGTAGGAACGAATAAAAATTCAGAGAAAGAGAAGAAAAATCTCTTGTCACGCAATACATTGATAATTATAGTCTCCGTGAATCATAGTTTCTTAGCAAAGCCTAACCTATGCTGTGGGCTGGCATAAAAATTCTAAACTAAACGATAAATGTATTGTATAGACGAGACTACATCCATCAGTGGCCCCCAAAGAATGCACTGCCAATGGATCCGCTCAAGCACATTATAGTGAGGCTCAGTGAAGAGAATGTAGAGAGAGACATGGTAATGCTGTAGCTAGTCTCTGGTAAGTGGCTAGACGAATACATAGGACCTTTGCCATGTTACTTTGAACCACCAGTGAGGAGACCCTAGAAACAGTTGCCAACAATTCCATAAGGAGAACCAGTTACTTTGAGATAAGGTGGCTTTTATTGTATAAGCTAATTCACTGCTGAAGATTTAAAGAGGTTCTATGTAAAATTTCTGCCAAAAGGGAGCGGTCTACAGATAACCTCAAAAGGTAAATATTGTAAATTAGTGCAGCTCTCTATTTCCTTTTTATTAAAGTTTTGTTATATTTCGATTTTGTGCAATGTTATTATTTCATTTTATTATTTACATTTTCCAGTGATCTGTACTGTAATTAAGTTTGGCCAATGATTCTTTTTCTAATATGTATTTCATTCTTATGTGTTTTATCGTGTGTAATACTGTTTTCGATTACATTAATTTCGATTTCTTAAGTACCACTTCTTTTTATCATTGAGAGTAATTTCGATAGATCTGTATTTGATTACGTTTATTTTATGGTTTGATTTTAACGTCATTGAAATTTACTTTGGTTTCGTTTAATCTTGTATTATTCTTAGTTTCTTTAAAAGTTGTTTAATTTTTACACTTTGTTAAGTTTAATTTTTCTAAGTGTCACTTTTACTTTGTATTTTCATTTTAAACTTTGTCAACTATAACATATTTATCCTACTTTGTCAACTATAACATATTTACCATACTTTGTCAACTATAACATATTTACCTACTTTGTCAACTATAACATATTTACCATACTTTGTCAACTATAACATATTTACCTACTTTGTCAACTATAACATATTTATCCTACGTTGTCAACTATAACATATATTTCCTACTTTGTCAACTATAACATATTTATCCTACGTTGTCAACTATAACATATTTACCATACTTTGTCAACTATAACATATTTATCCTACTTTGTCAACTATAACATATTTACCATACTTTGTCAACTATAACATATTTACCATACTTTGTCAACTATAACATATTTATCCTACTTTGTCAACTATTACATATTTACCATATCTTGTCAACTAGAACATATTTATCCTACGTTGTCAACTATAACATATTCATCCTACTTTGTCAACTATAACATATTTACCATACTTTGTCAACTATAACATATTTACCATACTTTGTCAACTATAACATATTTATCCTACTTTTTCAACT